GGAGTCGAGGGCAACAGCTAGTTTATTTAATAAATCCTTATCTTACTAATATGATAAAATTGTAACTAGACGATGTCTGTACATGGAAGATATTTGAGAAAAAAATATATTAAAGGTAATAAGACTAATAAAAACTGAAACAATAAGTTTTAGAGATTATGTCTATACATCTGTCTGTATGTTTGTTCGGAAATCACGCAAAAATTACTGCACTAAATTGAATGCGGTCTTCAGTTGTTTTTCTGAACTTAACACTGGTATTATTTTTATTATTATTTCACCATTGATGTATTAAAAAAAAAACATAAGAATGTTTTTTTTTGTTGTTGGCAAATGGATTAGTAAATCTGTAAAGCTCGGCAGAAATATGTACATATGTATCTAATAAATAAATAAATATATTTTAACTTAATACGCCATTCAGAAGTAGTCTGTTCCATCGGTTATCTGTTTTGGTCTACGCGTACGAAGTTGCGGGCAACTAGCTAGTATGAAATAATTAAAAAACGGTTTTTATTGTGCAACAGCTGTAGAGCGGTGCTTCAGTAAATTGTATCGCGTAAATGAAATTCTGAACAGGGTTGTTCAGGAAATAAATTATTTTATATTAGATCCGGCTTACTTGATTGTGTTCTAGATGTTTCGCTATCGCATTTGGACAACACACATTTTACCACTCTACTCCGTAGTGATATAATAATACTACCCGCCGTTACTGCATTTTTCTTGCTTCTTGTTTTCTATTTCTACTAAATTTTAGTTTTGACATTTATTGAAATATTTACTAAATCTAAAGTTATATAATGGAAAATTGTAATGTGCCCGTGCTAGTAGTACTCGTAATAATTTATATGCTTTTAAATATTTTTACGCTGGAAACAGCAGAATATGATGGGAAATTATTTACTACTCTCATCTTGTTGTAACATATTCTAACAAATAAATTTTTACATCGTTATAGCTTTTTCTTTATATTGTTGAATTTTTTAAAAATTGTTACTAACAGTTTACGAATGTTAAAAGGAAGCTCTAAGCAAAATTTTGGTTTTCAGCTCAGCAATTTCGGGTGGACATTGATCTGTAGTCAATTTCTTTTATATGAAGGATGATACAGGTAATATGAAATAGACGTACAACGTTATTGACGTTCGACGCAGTTCCTAATGCTTATACCGTATACATTGTCTTCGAATGATATCAATATCTTTAATGGAAAAATGCAAAGTAAGTAAGTTCGTCAATCTTGTTCATTTTGCATCGCTATAGCGAACTATTCAGTTTATAGACCACTCAACCTCTAAAAAAGTCAATTATACGGAACTCATATACGCAATCAATAGAAATCACAATAGACACCAAAGTACTTTGATCGACCCCAAATGAGTCTATTCGAAGGTCGGCAAACTACGAGTATATACAAGAAACGCTGGCCAATTACCTTTGCTGGATCGTTATGCTAAATTATAACGCCTATACTCGTAGGTCAAATACCGAAATAACGGTTTTATGTTCGACAAAGGAATTTTAAATGTCCTAGAACATGACTGGAGGTGTTGGCTCAACATTTGAGAGCTAGCTCAAGAATTATGTAATTCACTCAAAATTATTGATTCGTGTATGTAGACAATAGTCTTATTTTTACTAATACTATAATATAAATCTGAAAACAAGTTTGTTCTTTTATTACCTTTCTAGACTTAAATGTCATGATTTGATACACATGTTGCGATGGAGAAGGGTACAGACTGTAATCAATGAATATTTTTCAATCAAGCGGATCAAGACGAGAGTAAAAGCTAGTAATTAAATAAGTAATTCCATGTAGATCTGGCATAGAATGAGACGCCCCTTCTTTCCCGTGGGCATTGCAAGAGGCGACTAAGGGAATTTAATGATCAAGGGATGGGTAGCAGCGTCCCTCTTTAAACATAAATAAAGATTTACTTTACGGTTGCCAATCCGCTTGCCAAGCGTGGCAATTACTGGCAAAACTATATTTAGCTGTGAACAGTTAATGGCTGAAACAAAAGTGTACAAATAAGTAACCAGAGGGAGACTTTGTATAAAAGTCGATTGCTTGGGTACCTCTGTCCTTTTCGTGTTTCAACCGTGAAGCAGTTGTTTGTATAGCTGTGTTTCGGTTTGAAGGGTGGGATATAGCGTGAAATTACTGGGTACAGAGGAATAACACCTGAGTCCTCAGGAATGGCAACGCATGGGGGGTATAATGGACGAAACAGTATACTCTGTTATGTCCATGTTACTGCTCATGTCTATAGGCGACGGTTACCACTTTCCATCAGGAGGACCATCAGCTTATTTGCCATTCTAAGTTGTATAAAAAAAAAAAAAAAACTAAAATACAGTAGGTAAAATTGAAAAATTTCTCCGTTTAAATTCAAATGGCTGATGAGGGAACTGGGAACAATTTTTAAAGGAAAAATTCATTTATTTATGTATTTTAGTTCCATCTTACTTATTCCAAAATAACTACAGTACTATTAATGTAACTTATTTGGTACTTTGTAAGGTATTAGAAATTCACGTGGGCGAATGACGCAAATGGTTAGGAGTCGTGATACGATAGAAATATACAAATATACGAGGTTTGTCCGGAAAGTACGTATAAAAGTTTTTTAAAAATTTTATTTTACAATTATTCAGGTAAATCAATTTTATCCCCTTCAAAGTACTCCCCCTGTGACATAATGCACTTGTGCCAACGCCGTTTCCACTGTGAGAAGGCTCCTTGAAAGTCCTCTGGTTGTAGGTTTCTCAGCTGCCCCGTCGTAGCTTTTTTTATCTCATTTATGTCCCCCAAATGCCGCCCCCGAAGTACCAATTTGGTTTTTGGGAACAAGAAGAAGTCACACGGGGCCAAATCCGGCGAATAGGGGGGGTGTTCGGTCACCGTAATGGAATTTTTACTCAAAAACTCACGGAACGATCTTGGCGCAAATTTTTTTCATTTGAAGTTCGTTTCTTAGAATTTCGTGGACCACGGTTTTGCCCAAATTAAGCTCTTCAGCCACCTGTCTGACCGTTAAACGACGGTCCCCATTAACACAAGTTCGAATTCTTTCCACGTTTTCGTCGGAATGTGAAGTGGAAGGACGTCCTGAACGTGGGTCATCTTGAACGCTTTCTCGGCCCTCTCTGAATCTTTTTAGCCACTTGTGGACGGTTGGTTCCTTCACAGCATCATCCCCATAAACTGTTCTGAGATCGGCAAAAATTTCACGGCCATTCTTGCCGAGTTTCGAGAGAAACTTGATTACGACGCGCTGCTCTTCAACGGAAGCGGGCTCCATGCCGACGGGGTTTCGTTAAGAGGTAACTTCACAGATGGCGTGACAAGCCAGTTCGCACCGCACGGCGGTCAGACCAGAACTGAAGCATTGTTAGGGACATAAGGAAGGGGTCCTGCGCTTACCTGGCCTCCCCACTCCTCTTTCTCGCATTCCAGAACACTTTTATACGAACTTTCCGGACAGACCTCGTATATTTATTAAAGCATAATAAGTCGAGAGCAATAAGTACAGTAGAAAACTCGAATCCGGCTTCAATTGCGACCTGGCAATAAGAAATAAACATCCAGATCAGCGCATTTGACGGCTTTCATCTCGAATTAATTTTCTAAATTACTATGTATCTACTTGAGGGGAAGATCTTTAGCTCTTTTGTTACTTTAAAAATCAATATACTTATTGATTTTAAGGACTATCAGAAGAGGTACCTGGCTCAATCTACAATGTAGCGTCATCATGATGCATCCATTTTTAAATGATTGCAATTCTGTGACACATAATGATTCAGAATTTTAACGAAGAGTATATCCCTTTCATATCACAATATTGTTACTAAGATACTCATTACCTATATTATACCCTGTATATTCCCTATATCACTACTTATATGACGAGCACCAAGCTAGTTTTTATATAAGTATGCAAATAGAGGTATCTAAGTACAGTCATAGCTGTACGAAGAGTCGAATGGCTATATTCTTATAAACTTAATGAAAAATAGAATATTACAAATTATGTAGAGTTTACTTGATTGTTTGAAGGGCTGACGACAAATCGACAACTGATAGGTTACACCATAGATACTAGCATTTTAAACAAGAATACATAAATCTATGAAGTCCGCACTGCAATTTGCAACTGATGCATGCCCATTGTACTTTGTGCTCGAAGATTCCTTAAGGTGAATTTAGACTTTATGAACTCTTGAATACCACTTATCGAATAGTTGTCATCTCTATCTTGCTGTTCTGATTTTTGTTTATTGTAAATATATTAAGACCATTCTCTGGTTATTTCATCATTTCATAATCGTGATTGATATTGTTATTCTCGCGTCAATTATTTAATCTAATCTTGTGTATATACTAGCATTATGCTATGCTCTTTGCTTTTTAATCTAAATACTTTCTGGTAAAGGTTTTATTATTCAAGAATAGCAAAACATAAAATCATGCTCTCGAGAAATATAAGCCAGCATTCTTAGATGATAGAAAATAGAAGTACAGCAGACTGATTTGAAACATTGGAATTGAAGTCGAGTTCATTATGAACGGATAGCTGACTAAGCACGGGTACCTGTCTGTGACCGCTATTATCATTCCATCTACGCTGATGTCACATATATGATATAAGAAACTAATTTGCATAGATGTACTGATGGATAAAAATTAAAAAATACAAGGATTAACCTGATGAATGTAAGTATATAATCTTAAAAAAGGTACAATTGCTTATAGATTTATTTCATTTCCGTTATATAACCATTCCATATTATGCAGGTATAATGACGAGATTTACTGCATAAACAGGTAGCAGGCAGTTATGTTTGTGTTAATATTACGTTTCACGATTACAATGATTTAGGTACATGCGCAGAAAAGATAAAATCTAGTTAAAGGAAATTCAACTTTATCACAGGGAATTTGCAGATTCGATAGTACAATTCCAATTTGTTTCCTTTGATTTTTATACCTTTCAGTGGAGTTATAGAACATAGCAGCCTGCCTCTTCATGTCATCAGAAACTGTGTTGTCTTCATTCATTTTTGCACAACACTGCACCCAAGCCAAGAGGTCACTGTGCTTCGATTTCGCTATTACCACAAACTAAAACACAGTTTATATTAAACTTTAACATATATAAACTATGGTCCAAGTTACGGTGCACGTGTTTAAAGTTGAGTCCGTTGGAATTTGGAGGCCGGCAAGTCGGCGTTCGACGCCCGCGCCTCTCACTCTATACTGACTTGATATAGATCGCCTATTCTCGCCCCGCGGTCGCACTTACCCCCCACTAGTAATAACAGGCTTTGGTGTCCATTAACTGCCGATACGACACGATTTTGTACATAAAAATGGTGGAAGCAATTTTTTTTCTATCTAGTGTTTAGGTAAATTTACAGTTACGTCCTGTGAAAATGAAAACGTAACTTTGCTTACGCTAATGGCGTTTGTATTGACCCATTGTATTGGCATTAATAGACTTTTTTTATACCACTGAGGTGGCATGCTTATTGCTAGTAATCTCTGCGGTTACTTCAAACAATTTGTGACTTGTAACAGTATGCTGCCCGATTCCAGAGTTTGGTGCTAATTCTTGAGAGTAACAGGAAATTTAGGTCTTTAAACCAGAATGGCAAGACTTGCCGAAGATATTTTCTTTGTGAGTCAGATATTATATTGTAGGTAATGCGGAAATAATATGGAGATAATAGCTTATAGTTAGTGCATACAGTCCGTAGTAGGCATGGTAATATAGATATAGATTCGATATCTATATATTGGGTTCTCTGGACATTGATGACGGAAAAAAGGTCATCACCCATTTCGACATCGCTCATATCAGTCGGATATCTATTTTTGAACATATTAAAATTCTATTATCCAATATGATTTTTTGGATAACAGATTTTTAACATATTCGTCATTAGACCAGTATATAGATGTTGTAACTAAAAATATAGATATTGCTATATATTATCCACCCCTAGTCCGTAGAGATCGGTGTGCTGATTGTATCACTTCTTTATGCCATGACCGATAAGTTGGCGAAATAAAATGAGACAGTGGAAACAGTGCCTTATCACAATATCGTAGGTGGCATATTTATAAGTTGGTTATGTTAACAACGACACTTGCAGAACCGTTATTAGTGAGAGGGTTTTATGCGAAGGGTCGCTAATTAATCCACAATAGCATGGGTATGACGCATTCGACACACATTGCCTTTGTGTATCTACGTCACTTCTTTGTATTCTTCAGCATAATACATATTTCTGAAAATAATTCTATTTGCATTTGTTTCGTCTAATTGAGTCAATAATCGTAATATCATTAGTATGCAGGTACTTTTGCCGTGTGGTCCTGCCGTATGATTGTTCCGGAATACGGAATACGTACGGATTCTGTCCACTTCCAATGGCAGTCTATATATGCATATTCGATTTTTTAAAATGCATAAATGAAGTGCCATTGTGATAGAAATAAATATTATATTACATCTTAGAGCCTGGATAGTACCGTATAACACGGTTTCAGAAATGTTACCTGGCATGAACGCTTAGGTTATGGAATGAGCTCCTGTCGAGATTATTCCAAGAGACTACAGCATGGGGTTTTTTAAAAAAGCGGTAAAGAGGTTTCTTGTGAGCGGCAACGAGCGTGTAATGTCTTGGTATTGTAGGCGTTCATAGGCTACTGTAACCTCTTATCATCGGGTGGGCCGTAAGCTTGTTTGCCATTTCATTTAAATAAAAAAGAAAACTTAATATTATTACGATGAAAATGGAATGGCAATCCCGCCTGGACTATCCGTATACACTGACAGAGCGCCAGTGAGAAATGACAGATGACAATAAGAGCAGGTCAGTTGCCCCATCGTGACGATTTCAACAAGAATTAACCCTGATGGTTTCCAAGGGAACCGCGTGGAGGTCGACTTAATAGGGTATATATTAGTAGCAATGAGGCTGTTAGACCGCATTACTAACAATCCCTTTCGCCCTTACCTAGACGGATTGTCATTGTTAGCAACGGAGACTATAGGACTCATTATTAATAATATACACTGTCAACCTCCAAGTGGTCTCTCCTGGAAACTATCATGATACATTTTAGATAAATTTAGCCCGATGGGCCAACTGACCTGCCTTCATTATTATCAATTAAGCCTTACTAGTACTCCATTAGCGTATACATATATCAGTGTATATTATTGTATATTCAGTGTATATTTAATACTGTTGGAAATCCTTATTTTATGCAACATAGAATGATAAACAAGGTGTTGGCCCATTAGATCGATAGTGATAAGCATTGCCTATAAATATGAACAGTACCATGGGCATAATACCCTTTGGTGATAAATTTTTGTTTGATCTAAAAGGATTGTTTAATAATAATATATTTATACTATGTATCACATCTCCATATTTAGAACTAACAGAATTTTTCATTGTGCCTCCCACCAAATTGTTTATAATTACTTCTCTCCATCCAAAGGTTGCCTGGAAGAGATCACTTTTAGCGATAATCTCACCCTTTGTTTTCTCATTGTGATTATTACTATTGTAATCTTTTGGAGGAAACAATAAAGAGTATCTATCTATCTATCTAGTATAAAAAATAAACTTAATACAATGTATCAGAAGTATGTTCAGGTCAAGTGAAGATCACTTTTTTATAAGTTACCATTCCATTATCATACATTGAAAAAAAATGCTGTTTACATCTATAAGTAATAATTACTATTTTCCATCAGGTAAGTCCTGTTTTTACAAGTTTTTTTTTTATGTATTGTATAAGGAACCAACAATTTTTCAATATAGGTCATCCAATGCCCATATGAAGTGTGTGACAATAATTTTATAAGAAATTAGCATAATTTTAATAATAATTTGATGGACCATTCAGATAGTTGATGTAAAATGTTTAAATAAGTTTTACAACTAATTATTATGCATTAAGATTTCACTGAATTTCAGTATAAACCAATGATTAATTAATGATTAGACATTATTAAAATTATAGATTGTTCCATTAATAGCAGAAAACAATATATTTGCCAGCTCAATAAACTCTTTAATTAATTTGCTAGATATGGTTAGAAATTTATGGTTCACTTTAATCAATACACTAGAAAAGTGAGTAAAATGCAAGTGATACTTAATAATCAAAATATAATAATATATAGAGTTATATTTTATAGTGATTGTGTGTATGATAATGTGTACGAGAAATGATAAGTAAATTTAACATTAATAAATTGTATAAAAAATCATATTAAAGTAGTATGTTTAATAGTATGTTAAAGTAGTATGTAAAAAATTATATTAAAGTAGTATTTAAGTGTTAAAATTTGGTTCTAAATGTCCATTTAATATATAATAAAAGTTATTTAGTTTTGTATCAAAAGTATGTGTTCTAAAAGTTCCTTATTCTATGATTTTTATATAGGAAAAGATGAAGAGATAAATCAGTTCTGTCTGTATTCTGAAAATCTAGCTACTTATTTTTAAGATTATATGTATCTATCTAAAATATATGAATATATCTATCTGTATATCACAAATAGGAAAAATTGGGTTTTCTTGTTTCTAATTTAATGAATTGATAAGCTCAAAAAATACTTATCCAATTTTAAAAATCTTTCAATTATAGAAAACTACATTATCAGCAAGTAACATATTTATCCATTTTTCTAACTATCTATGTGTACAAAGTCAGGATGAGTTGCTAGCTAAAAATAATAACAAAACAAAGACAAAAACCATAATAGGTACCTAATTTAGAGTTTGTACATTACAGCAACATTCCTAAAAACGTCAATTCTTTTTAATATTTTATAAGGACACAAGTAGTCAGTAGGTACCCGTAGGTGAACTAGCGTCAAGTTGCATTTTTATAATAAGTAATGCTCCTACAAATTTTATTTGGAACTACAAATATAGTTACATTATAAACACTAGGCACTAACTCAGTGGGTTGGTGGAGATGGATGATGAATGAATTCACGGGAACGATGGTGATTATTTAAACTGAGTAAATTTAAATTTAAGAAACTCTAATATGAATTTATAAAAGCAATACTCACCCATTTTCCGATAGTAATGGCGTGTAACTATAATTATATTGTTGTTTGTTGATCATATTACAATGGAGAGCTTATTATATTAAATTAATAACTAACATCGCCTTAATTCTACAGTAAAACACAAAACTTTCTTTTGGTTTGGTAAATAAACATTATTTATATACAAACTATATCAAAAACAGAGACTAGAGAGACTATGTATAAAGATCAAAACAAAAACAAACAATATTGGCAAAGCCATGAAAATTGACAGTGACAGTTACATGTTGACAACTTTGACACTATTGAATATTTCCTTTAAGGAAAAGGTATTGAGCCATACAGCCGATAACGTAAATTATAAAACATAATGTTAGTTTTAAAAATTATCAAAAAGGTTTTGCACAATTTACTGATATTGTTCATAGATAATCAGGAAGTTCACCATATAGCTAAATTACATAATAAAAACAGATTATATTTTATTAATACCACATTACTCTTAAGTTTAAAGGTATTTATGTTTATATGTTATATCCTCATTTTTTTTTAGATAATATAATATTAACTATATTATCTTACTATTATAATAGTAAGATAATATAGTTAATATTATAGCAAAAACAATAATTTTAGACTTTTGTCTTTGTTTGTCTATTTGTCTAATTATTTGTATTGTAAGTTCGATGCGTTTTTCAGTTTCTTTTTAATTGATGGTTTCCAGTGGGAATTTCTTTTATGGCAGGTGTGGGTGCGTCATTGGGATATCTTCACAAACCCTTTTAAACCCTGGCAGGAGACTTTCCTGTCAGCGTTTTGCAGAGAAGTGGGAAATTAGGGACTTTTGTTGGTGTAATGTGCGTTTTGGGTCTTATTGCAGTATTTGCAATAAGACCCAAAGGTCAGGTGCAGGTGGTGATGGTTGAGTGTGTGTAAGTGTTTGTAGGTTTTGTTGAGTTGTTTGCAGAATATCGGGAGACAAAAGTTTTAGTGGTGTTTGTAAGATGTTGGTAGATTCAAAGTTGCTTTTATATTATGGTTGTGGGTAGCAGATTAGTGGTTTTATTTGATGACATTTTCACACACATATCTTTTAACTTGATATACAATTTAGAAACGGTATATTTAGTTGGTTTTCCTAACTCTAAGTAGGGGCAAAAGCTAGTGTTATCTAAAAAAAA